TAAACGCTTCTCTCCTGGACTTGTCATCTCCATTGTCAGAGTCTGTTCTTCTGGACTCATAGTTATTTCTTGGCTGGAGCCTCTGCCAGATGACGGTGCTTAAGTGTAAGCATAGCCTCTGCTATATGTTCCACTGCCTTATTTCTGGTCCAGCTGAAATCTTTGGCTGAGAGCAGGCATTCTTATTTTCTGTCAGCTTAAAGCCCATACATTATATCTAATTTTTTAATGGAAGAGGCAGAAAACCCTGCCTGGGAACGAGCAAAAAACTTCCTGTCTTGTTCCTTCAGAATCTAGGCTCCTGAAGCCTCTCATGTCCCTCAATAGGAGATCCTCAGCTGCAAGATGCTAAGCTATTTTTTAAATATCATTTTATTGGTATCTTTTGTTTCTGTATCACTTCCAGTTCCCATTGCATCCCCTCTCTTTTAGCTAGAGAGTCATCCTTTATAACAAAGAAAATTTTAAAAGCAGTTCAGCAAAAATAATAAACATCAGTCCAATCCATGTATGTAATGTTCAGCATCCATAGTCCCCCACTTTGGTAAAGAGAGAAAGGGGGTGCATTTTCATCTTTTCAGAACCCAGCTTGGTTATTATAGGTAACATAGTATTCACTCCATTTTGACTTTGTGGTTCTTTCCATTTGCATTGTTGTAATCATCGTATATATTGTTTTCCTGGTCCTGCTTATTTTACTTTGTATCAATCCATATGTCTTTCCATTCCTTCCTATATTCTTTATATCCATCATGTCTTTTGGTACAGTAGTATTTCCATTCCCTTTTATCTTCTGTGATCATCAGTGTTCCTTAGTTGGTTAAGAAATCACACCATAGCCATAACTGTGAAAGATATCTGATCTGATTATCTTCTGACTTTTTTATGATATAACTTTTAAAGTCTTTAGAACAAGAAGCAGAATGTTCCCAGCTAGCTAATGCCTTTAGGCTTAATCTTTTCTTTGGACCACTCTTACTTATCCAGGGCCTCTAGTCTCTCAGAAACCTCACACTAGATTTGGTGATTGTTTAACATGCTTCCCCACTTTCAGTGTGGGAAGACTAGGCTGTAAACCATTATCCATTTATTTCCCTAATAACTACCAAACTGCTTCGAGGTTGGCATTCCCCAGTTCTTTGTTTTTTTTAACTCCATGCTTCTTCTGTTATCCTCATTAGATGACTAGGTGGGGAAAAGCATAAAGAGGCAATTCCAAACCCAGGAAGCAAGGTAGAGATGTGAGGGACTGATAAGTGAAGGCACAGTCCTGAGAGTATGCACAGTGGGCTCTGCCTGCACTCAACCCACGTGGAGGCCTAGTGAGCCTGCTTTCAGGCATTTTTCGCAAAAGGGCCTTTCCCCAATGTAGAGAAGTTGTAGGTATTCTCTATTTCCTATTGGCTTGCTTACATGGTGACAAGAAGTCTTGTAAACTGGCTACTGTTTCAGAACTGAATGGGCATACAAAAGGCCTGGACAGACAAAAGCTCTTTCTCCCCAGGCAGCTTTTGAATGAGGATGAAGAATTGCTGTAAAAGTCTCTGAGTAGCAATTGCTGTGGCTACCCCTCCTCCTCACTTGGGTCATCATGTGCCCATGAATGTGTCCCTACCTCTCTTTCTTCTGTCCTTGCTGTGTTCATTCTTTCCGGATCATTGTTGGGTGAGTATGGAGAACAGAACAGACCAGATTACAAATGTGAGCTTCAGAAAGTAAGAAGAGTCTCCAGAGGTCTGACAAACGGAGTCTATAGCAGTCTGCTGTAGCTGTGATGGCTGGGCCAGGTGAGGATCCAGCCCAGTAGTGAATTAATTCAGCAGCAATATACCCTGCAAGCAAGGGAGCAACTTCCATTGGCCTGACCACCCCAGAAGTGAATTTGGTGAGAGGAACATTTGTAACCTTGCGATTTAGTTTGTGCCCACTCTCTCCAGAAACCAAGGTAATAGAAGAGAGTGTGCTCCAAATTTTGTCCTTTGGCATCAAGAATAAATAAGTCTTATCTCTTTTCTACATTGGGATCATAGAATCATAGATTTAGTGCTGGAAGACACCTTAAAGACCATCAAGTACAAAGCTCCCTGCCCTCCCCATTTTGCAAATGAGGAGTAACAGCCCTTGAAGTACTCAGAGACAGCTACCATGAGTTCCCATGTCTTTTCTTCCTCAGGCTAAACACCCCTAATTCCCTCCATCTGTATTTGCATGACATGGTCTTCAATTTTCTTGATATCTTGGTTCCCCTTTTCTAGATTCACTCGAGTTTATCAGTGGCCTTCCTAAAATGTCAAGGATTCTATATCCTTATTAAATTTAATCAAACACAAACATGGAAAGATATGGAGAAAGATAACTTTGAGCTTTTCTCTTCTGCCATGTAAGATCTCATCTGACTCTCTTGTTCTCCCTCCTGTCAGCACTGTCGGGTCTGTAAAATAAGAGCCAAGTTCTGCTGTTATAAGATGACTGCAGTCAGCCTCAGAGGGCAGCGAGGTGATACAGTGGTTAGAGCGCTGGCCTGAGTTCAATCGTGGCCTCTGACACTTACTAGCCATGTGACGTTAGGCAAGTCACTTAGCCCTGTTGCCTCAGTTTCCTCCTCTGTAAAATGAGGTAGAGAAGGAAGTGGCAAATTCAGTATCTTTGCCAAGAAAACTCTATATGGGGTTACAAAGAGTTAGACCTGACTGAAACAACTCAACAGGCAGCCTCAGAAGGAGGCCCTCATCAGAATTATTGGCAATAAGTAGAATGCTTTCCAAAAAATTATTAACTATTAATTTTTATTTGGCCAACTAAAGCCTGACCTAATCCCCTAATGATTTGTTTACTAACACTTTATCTTGTGAAGTCAGACCCCACAAATGTATTTCTCTGCCTTTCTGGATGTGCTCTCTACCTAGATCATGCTGCTTTGCTGTTTCTCATCAGTATCACTTACTCCTACCTTTCTAAGCAATTAAGTGTGATGACATATCAGTTAATCTGGTTCTGTATTCTTCATGTTCTTTTGTGAATTAACAGTATGCACTCAAAACATATTTTCTATATTAAGAGGCAGCTTGGTGCAATAGAAAGAGCACTGGAGTCTGGAGACACCTGGGTTTGGATTCCAGCTCTGATACTTACAAGCTGGGTCAAGCTCAACAAGCCACTTATCCTCTCCGAGTCTTGTTTGTCCCCTTAAAATTCCCATAGGGCTTTTGTTTTGTTTTGTTCTGTCTTGTAGGCAATCAGAGTTAAGTGACTTGCCCAGGGTCAGACAGCTAGTAAGTGTCTAAGGCTGAATTTGAACTCTGGTCCACCTGACTTTAGGGCCAGTGCTTTATCCACCGTGCCACATAACTGCACCCCCGTAGGGTTTTAAACCTGACCTGGTAAATCTAAAAGTGCATATAAATGTGAGTTATTATCAATCCCATTTATCATTTTTGGAGTAAGATATCCCATGTAAATTAATCTTCCAGACAGTTGAAGCATAACTTTTTTAAGGAGCAAAAAAAATTTTTGAACCATTTTTGATGCAATTTTTCCCAAAATATGTTATGCTTTTTTCCTTAAACAAAAGATGATTAATATAATTTAACTTTTTCTTGATTTTTCTATTACTATTATTATGAACATCAGTTATTATACTTTATAGTAAATACGGAAGTGATCCTGTGGACTTTTGAAGCACAAAATATTTCTGCATTAAATGGCCCTATACTATTCTGCTTTTTTAGTTATTTTTTTTAAGTTTTCCTTACTCTTCATTTATTGTCATGTGGTGAGAAGCTGTTCCCCCTATGTGTAATGTGAAGGTACTATTGTGTGACTCATAGGCAAGCATCTCTTCCCCAGCCCTTCTCCAAGGGAGACTTTATTTCCTGCAAGGAAGGGAAACCAAAGGTAAAAATAAAAAACAAAACAAAACTCATGTTCACCAACTTAGTATTCTTTTACCATATGTTATGAAATATATTAGAAATGTGTTTTATATTATTTCTTGTCTCACAAGATAAGAAAACCAGAATGAAACTTTGCTATGTTTTGATTTTGGAAGATTTTTTTTTAATCTATCTGAAATTTAAAGGGTACGCAACACTTTTCTATTGAATTTTTGTGCAACTTGATATATACTCAGGTGAATATATTTCCAGCACTGTTAAAAAGTGAAACACACAGAAAAAAAGTGAAACACATCAAAAGAGCAGAAAAAAAAAATCAGATGACCCATTTCTAGTCTTTTACTCCTCCTGAACCCTGATCCCTTTTATGTTTTGAGCTCTAGCTTTGATCCCTTTCTTGACTCCATTCCCTACCTCCTACCTGCCTCCATACCTACTCTCAGACCCAGTCAAAAGCCCAGACACCTGCTCTGGCCCAACTCTTAACTTGGTTCAAGTCTTGGTCCTAGAACCATTTTATATAGCTGGACATGTTCCCTTTCCACCCTAGCACTCGTGCCCAAGTTTAAAAATATGGAGGCCAAATGAACAGCAATTTGAAAAGATTATGCAACAAAGACCAAACACTAGCCACTCCCATTTTAGTCTTCACATCTTTGAAAGTATTTTCTTTGACTAGATAGGCCTTATTATATTTTAGTTATGATGGTAGTTTACATGTTTAAACTTTGATTTCAACTGTCATAAGTAATGGTGATACTTGATGGTTTACAAAGCACTGAATGCATATTTATTTACATATATGTATCTATACATATATGTGTACATATACATATATGCTCATTTGATACAATTCTGTGGGTTAGATTGTGTAACTATTATTACACACATTGGATGGATAAGGGAAGGGGAGGTTAGAGAGGTTATGACTTGTCATTAGTGGCTAAGTAGCAGAGTCAGAAAATTCAGTATTTTGATTGTTTTTTTGCATATTATTTAGGAAAAACATGAAGTAATTGTGACTTAAGGCTCAATGACACCATGAGAAAACATTTAGTTAGGGAATTAGGGCAATGTATAAATATGTATTTTGATGTTTTTATACAGATGAAAATGAGCAGCTAAAGAAAAACAATGATATCCTGAAGGAGAAGTTAAAATCTCATGAGCAGGTGAGGCTTAATGTAACATATAAAGTCAATCCTGTCAATTTAAGTCAATCCTTAAACTGAAAAAAAAAATAAGAAAGAAAGAAAGAAAAAAAGATTGGTTATATATACAAAATACTTTTTCTTTTTTGCTTCAGTACTTCAATATATCCATTATTTCATCAGTGGGAGCACTCCATTGATGCAGATGGCAACCCCATGCCTTAGATGACCTTTATTGCTATGGCTAAAAAATATATCACCTAGTGACCAACCTTTAAATGATATGCCTTTTCAAACTTAGCTGGGCTGGTCTCCAAGCCCACATTCAAAACCTTCCCAATTTGTATTCTACTAGACATAGCCTTTAAAAACCCATTATGGCATGTTGAGTAATTGAAGTGATGCTTTAATGAAGGCTCTACTTGTAAAATACAATGAAAAGAAGTTATTGAAATCCTTTTTTCTAAAGAGAATTTAACTTAAAAATAATCAGTTGTGGAGCCCAAACAGAATATAGAGAGTACCAATCAGTATTATGCCAGTGAATTTCTTTTGCTCTGTTATTAAGCAGTAAAGGCACAGGTTGTATTTTCTCTAATACCTTCTTCTTTAATCTTTTTATTGGTGTTCTTGGTTGTCCATAACTCTACTAAATGAGTCTTAATGTTTTCAAAGCAAAAAGATATCTCTCTCTCTCTCTCTCTCTCTCTCTCTCTCTCTCTCTCTCTCTCTCTCTCTCTCTCTCTCATTTTCTCTCAGATCTGTGATTTTACTGGTAGAGGTAACTTTCAATGAGAAAACTCCTGAGTGATAAAGTGTCTTGACTAGGGCCACATAACCAGTGTGTGTCTGTGATAGGCAAGATTTCAATCCATGTCTTCCTGATTGTGAGGGTAGCTTTCTCTCTACTACATCATGCTGCCTCTCCAAATGTGTTTATTGCATGTATGTGGCAATTCGTTTCTCATCTTGGGTTAACCATTGCACTTTCAGTTTATGTCATTTACATAAATGAAGAAGATGCTTTAAGTGGAATACAAGAGAACTGTTTCCAAAAGGCCTCTTAAGTCTTCTGCCATGTTTTCCTTCTGCTAAAAGGTCAAAGCCTCAGATCCAAATCCAGGCATGACCCATGCCTGCAGGGCCTATGCCTGAACAACAGTAGAAAATAATGCTAACCTAGCACTCAGGCAGTTGATATTAGAGGTACAGCAGAAGAAATGGCCAACACAAGCCCCGGGAAGCAAAGTGGCTAGGAACCGTGCTCCCAACACAATCAGTCCCACCTGGTAGAGGCCTTTCAGGCTCACAGCAACTGACAGATCAGCCCTGGGTTCAGAGCTCTGAAAGCAGAGGTCAGAGAAGCAGCCAAACCAAAATCTAAGTCAGTGTCACCAAGAGTTAAACTAAGCCCAAACCCAGGAATTCCTGCAGAAAGCAATGACTAATCTCAACCCCCACAGTTTGCCCACACCATCCAAGAGTAAGAGAAAGATCAGAGTCTCACCCAAGCACAAAACCCTAATCCACAAACTGAGGCTGGAGATAAGAGTAAACAGAAGAAAAGTCCAATCACAGTGAAGAAATATTGTGGACTAAAAGAAGCCCAAGAAGTAAACCCAGAAAAGAAGAATAACTCCATCTGCCCAAGTAGAACCTCAGAGAATGTCCTATCCACAAGGACTGCCAGAATACCTAAAAGAAATTTTAAAAGAAATACAAAACATAATGTTAGAAGAAATGATGGCTGGTGAGGAAAGATTGGCAAAGAACATTAATAGCTTTACAAAGAGGATAATAAGCTTTACCCCAAAATTGAATTTCCCCAAAATTTTAAATTGGCCAATAAGAAAGCAATGACTCCAAAACACAACAGGCAATGTTCAAACAAAACCAAAAGATTGGAGAAGGAAGGAACAGAAGAAAATGTTAGTTTTACACTATCAGAAACAACTGACCTAAAAAAGAGGAATGGATAGATCATCTCAGAATAATTGTCAGAATATTAGGACACACACCCCCACCCAAAAAAAATGTTTAGATACCATATTTCAAAAAATTATAAATGAAAACTACTCAGAACTCTTAGGATCAGAGGGCAATGTGAAAATATAAAACTGTAAAATGAAATTTCCTCATAACACTGTAGGCAAGCTTCAGAGCTTCCAGATCAAAGAAAAATACTATAAGCAAAAAGAAAGATTTAAAGTGCCAAAAATCCACCATCGCTATCACACATGACTTGGCAGTTGCCACTATGAAAAAGAGCTCAGCTTGGAATATAGTAATTTAAAAGGCAAAAGACAAAGTCTTGCAACCAAGAATGACCTATCTGGCAAAACTAAGTATAATTCTAGAATGGAAAATGGACCTTTAATTAAATAAGGGATTTACCTAGCGTTTCTGATAAAAAGACCAAAGCAGATTAGATATTTTGGAATGCAGCTACAGGATTTAAGGGAAACTTAGAAAGGTTTGATTAGCTGGAAGAGACTATTCAGTGATGATTTTGTTGTTTTACATTCAATAGGGGAAGAAAAAAGAAGTTTCTTCTCAGAACCCCAATATCTTCAAGAGTCATACAGAAAGTTAAATAAGACAGGCACAGAACCAGGACATAGTTTTGTTCTTTTTTGATGGGTTTTTTGATGGAAGGGAAAGGGAATGTTCTGGGGAAGAAAAGAGAGAGGGAAGGGAACTTACTAACCGATAATAGGGATATAAGAGATGAAGAGTAAACAAACATGGAGGAACAAAGTTAAGGGAATGGGTATCTCCTGAACCTCAATTTCACCTGAACTAGGGAAAAGAAAGTTGAGCACACACAGTTTTGTGGAGAGATACATTAAACTCAACAGGGAAAGAGGAGGGGACAAAGAAAGTAGAGGACTATTTCAGAGAGAGGGCAAAGGGCAAGATAGATGGGGAGCAAAGAGAAACAAAACAAACTCCAGTCAGAGAGAAGGGGGAAGTGAAAGAAAGAGTGAAAGCTTATGATTAGGGACAGGAGAAAAAGAACAGAAGATGGAGCAATGAAGCAAAAACAGATTGGTTCAATTATAGATCATTAGAGTTAAGCAAACTTCTCTTTTACCACCTTCCTTTTTGGTAAATAAGGAGACAGTGGCAAAGAGAAGAAAAAGGAAGGAAGGAGACACTCAATCAACAATTATAACTATGAATGTGAATGGAAGAAATTCTCCAATAGAATAGAAGCAGGTAGCAGATATAATTAAAAAGCAGAATCCAACAGTATGTTGTTTACAAAAAAAAAAACACATTTGAAACATAAATAATCACATAGAGTTAAAATGAAGGTCTGGAACAAATCTATTGTGATTCAGGTGAACTCAAGGGAGCAGTCATGATTTCAAGAAAAGATGACAATAAAATTAGGTGTAATAAAAAAGATAAGCATGGAAACTACATGATTAAAGACACCATCTATAATTAGCCAGTAGCAGTAATTAATAAATATATATGCAGTAATGGCATAGCATCTAAACACAATTAAAAAGTTCTTTGAATTGTAGGAAGAAATAAGCAGTAAAACCAAAGTAATAGAGAACCTCAGTGTATACCTTTCAAATCTAGACAAATCTGACAAAAAGATAAACAATACAGAAGTTAAGAACCTCAATAGAACATTTTAAAAAACTAGATATGATAAATTTCTGGTGACTACTACATAGGAATAGAAAGAACTTTATATATTTCTCATTGAAGCATGGCACCTTTACAAAAATGTACAGTTTGGGGGCATAAAAACTTCACAAATAGACGCAGGAAAAGAAGAAATATTAAGTGCATACTTTATTGACCATAATGAAATAAAATTTATATTGAATAATGAGCCTTTGAAGAAAGCATTATAAATTAAAATTAATTAACAAAAAAGATTGTTAATTGAAAAAAATTCAAGTAATTTTAAAAAAATAATTTAAGACTAAACGATTTAATCCTAGAGAATTGATGGATAAAAAGACGCATAATAGAAGCAAAAGAAAGCTTCATCAAACAAAATAGCAATGAAACAACATACTAAACTTTTGTAATGCAGCTAAAGCAATCCTTAGTGGATATTCATATCTCTAAATGTATTAATCAGAAGAAGGGAGAAAGTACAAATCAACAAATCGGGCATGCAAATTTAAAAAAAAAAACTACAAAAGCAACCAGTTAAAAAATTCCAACTAAATATCAAAATAGAAAGTCTGGAAATCAGAGATTTTGAAAATTAAAAGCAAAAAATAAATTGACAAATAATACTGAGGTTTAAGAAAAAATTAGTGCAATAGATAAACAAATCTCTAGTCTGATTTTAAAGAGAGGAAATCAAATGTTTGTATCCAGAATTAAAAAGGAGAATTTACAAAAAATGAAATAAATGAAACTATCGGGAACTATTTTGCCCAGTTAGGTACCAACAAAACTGGTAATTGGGGTGGATGAAGATATTTGATAATATAAAATATTGAATTAACAGAACAAGAATTACAATAAATAACTCAATATCAGAAAAAAATAAATTGAACAGGCTACTAATGAACCCCCAAAGAGACTTGAGAACCAGATGGATTTACAAATGAATTCTATCAAACTTTCAAAGAATAATTAATTCCAATATTATATAAACCATTTGGAAAAATAGAAAAAGAAAGGATTCTTCCAAACTCTGATACAAATATGTTCTTGATGCCTACATCAGAGGGAGACAAAGCCAAGAAAAAAAAAAAACTTTAGACCAATGTGCCTAATGAACATCACGTAAATACAAAAAGTATTTTTTGAAAATTTAAATAGCAAAAAAGCTTCAGCATATAAAAATATTAGATACTATGATCAGGTTGGGTTTATATGAGAAATATAGAGTCAGTTCAACAAATATTACAGGAAGAATGGGCCTTGGCACATGCTCCAACAAGGGCCTTCATTGGATGTTCCCCCTCCCCTGCTCATTGTATAAGAAAAACTATCATGATAGACCACATTAGTAACAAAAATAAAACAACCAACTTGGTTATTTCAGTAGGTGCTAGGAAAGCTTTGGATAAAATCCATCACCTATTCCTGTTGAAAACATTAGAAAACATAACAATAAATGGTCCCCTCCTTGATATGCTAAGTACTATCTATCTAAAACCAAGAGTCAATATTATATGTAATGGAGAAAGGAGATCCATTATCATCAGTATTATTTAATGTAGTGGTGGTGGTGGTGGTGGTGTTAATAGGAGGAGAAGGAGGAGGAGGAGGAGGAAAAAGCCAATATTTATATAGTGCTTTAACATTTGCAAAGCACTTTACATATATTATATCATTTGATTTAGTCTCTAGTGATACAACAAAAAGAAATTGAGGAAATAAGCATAAGGAAAAAAAGAGGAAACAAAACTGTTATTTGTTGTAGATGATATGATGATCTATCTAGAGAACTCGAAAAGAATCGACCAAAAAGTAATTGAAACATTTATTAACTTTAACAAAATTGCAGAATATAAATCTATATAAATCATCAGCATTTCTGTACATTATCAACAGATACCAGAAGGAAGAGATAGAAAGGGACAACCTATTCCAAATGGCTAAAGAACATTTAAAATATTTGGGAGCCCACCTACCAAGATACACTCAAGGACTATATGAGTATTAAAAAAACATGCATTATACAAATAAAGACAGACCTAAATAATTTCATGATTTGCTGGTTGGCATTGGCAATATAATAAAAATGACAATGTTATCTAAATTAATTTACTTTTAATTAATTTTATTTTTTAATTTTCAATATCATGACAACCAAACTAACAAATAATTACTTTATAGAGTCAGAAAAAATAGTAATAATGAAATTAATCTAGAGGAATAAATGGTTTAATACTTTCAAAAGAAATAGTGGGAAAAAATTGGAAGGAAGAGAACCTAGCAGCACCAGATCTCAAACTGTGCTACAAGCAGTAATCATCAAAATGATTTGATACTGGTTAAGAAATAAAGTTTTATCAGTGGAACAAATTAGATGTACAAAATACATAAGCAAATGAGCACATTAGATTTGTGTTTGATATATTCAAATACCCCAGATTTTGGAATAAGAACTAATTCTCTGACTAAAAAAAAATCAATGGGAAAATTGCAAAGCAGTCTGGCAGGAAATAGATACAGACCAACATCTTCTACTGCATAATAAAATAAGCTCTAAATGAATATATGATTTAGACATAAGGGGTGACATCATAAACAAATTAGAGGAGGAAGGAATTATCTTTCAGATTTATGCATAAGGGAAAGAGTTCATCACCAAACAAGGAATAGAGAGGAACACAGAAGATAAAAGGTACAATTTTGATTACATAAAATAAAAAAATTTTGCACAAGCAAAACCAGTGCAGCTAAAATTAGAAGGGAAACAGATAACTGGGGGGGGGGAGAACTTTGCTGTAAGTTTATCTGATAAGATTCGCATTTCCAAGATATCTAAGGAGTTGATTCAAAGAACAAGAGCCATTCCCAAGTTGGCAAAGGAACAAGGAAGAAATCTAAATTAACAATAGCCATATGAAAATAAAATGTTCCAAATCCACTACAAATCAGAAAAATGCAAATTAAAATTATCATTTCTTGCAGATATAAAATTCTAGCAGAGAACCCAAAAGACTCAACTAAAAAAATAATAATAATAATTTCAGCAAAGTTGTAGTATGTAAAATAAGTCCACATTAAGTCATTAGATTTATGTATATTACCAGTAAAACACAGCAGGACAGGATGGAAAGAGAGATTCCATACAGAATGAATAAAACATTTGGGAATCTACCTACAAAAACATGTACGGGAACCATATGAATATAATGACAAAACAGTCTTTACAGAAATAGAGACCTCGATAAATCTAGAAATATTATTTGTTATAGGTAGGATGTGGCCATGTAGTAAAAATGACAATATTACCTAAATTAATTTACTTATTCAGAGTCATGCCAATCAGTCTCCCAAAGGATTATTTTGTAGATCTAGAAAAAATAATGAAATTTGAATGGAGGGAAAAAAGGTCAAGAATCTCAAAAGAAATAATGGGGGAGAGGGGAGGGAAATGGGAATAAGGGAAACCTAGCAGTACTGGTTCTCAAACTACACTACAAAGTTGTAACCATCAAAGCTATTTGCTACTGGTTAAAAAATAAGTTGTTCAGTGAAACAGATTAGGTACTCAGCATAAAGAAGCAAATGAGCACAGCGGCTAATGTTTGATGACTCCAAAGACCCCAACTCCTAGAGTAAAGACTCACTATTTGACAAAAACTGCTGAGGAAATCAGCAAGCAGTCTGGAAAAGGCTAGGTATAGACAAACATTCACACCATATGCCTAAAATTAAGCTTCAAATTGATACATTACTTAGGTAATTAAAGGTCACATTTGGTAATGGCTAAAAATAGAAAAGTAAACGATTGGTACAGACTAGATAATGTAGAATTTGGAGCAACTGAACTCGATTCAGTATTTAATAAACCTGAGAACATGAGTTACCTGGGAAAGAGCTCTCTGTTTGACAAGAATTACTAAGAAAACCAGAAAGCAGTTTGGTAGAAATTAGGTTTAGGCCAACATCTTAAACCACATAACACAATAAACACAACACAGATATAAGATCTTAAACGTTATCCAGTAAGAAAAATTGGAAGAGAATCAATCAGGTACTTTTCACAATTTGGATTTTAGTGGACAATAAACTCTGTATGAGCCAGTTGTATGGCATGTCCACCTGAGCTATGTTATCAGTGGGAGTGCAGTGTCTAGAATCAGGAATATCATCATACTCTGCTCTGGTCAAACTTCAACTAGAGTATGGTTTTCAGTGTCAGAGGCTGCAATTTAAATGGGACGTTAGCAGTATGGGATCCGTCCGAGGAGGATAACTAGGATGGTGCAGAGGTCAGCATGGAAACCCTTCCAGATGAGGAGTAATTAAACAAACTGGGAGTATTACCCTGAAGAAGAAACTAAGGGACAAGTGGTAAGAAGGGTTGTCTTCAAAGAGGACCTCCAGGAAAGGAGAATTAGTCTTTTTTCGAGTCACTACAGAGAGCATGGCTAGGATTAATGAAGAGAAGTTGAAGGGAGGCACATTTTTAACACAATATATAAGGAAGACCTTTCTACTAATTAAAGCTGACCATGCCTTATTGAGAATAAGTTCCCTGTTACTGAAAGTATGCTCACAGAGGCTGATTAACCACCAATAAGCAATGTTGTTGAAGGGATTCTGAATGTGGTAAGAGGTTACTTTTAAGTACCGTAGAACTCAAGTTTCTGTGGTTCTGAATAAGAACCTCTGCTCTTAGCCAGATTTCGGCACTTGCTAACATTAGAAAGAGCCTGATGATAGTGTGTTGGTGCTCTCTGGTGGCCAGAAGACATGACTACAACTCTTAATGTTTAGATTTAAATTTAAATTTTTGCATTGCAAGAGCTGTTCTCAATCGAACGATATTTACATCGTGACAATCAATATTTGATAACTAGCTCTTCCTAGAAAAACAATTCCAACTTTTGAAACTTTATATTTTTAGTGTAAGGAAGGAGGAATTGGGTTTTATTCCCTCAGCTGATATAGTCAACAGAATTGATATAATCAGAGCAGATAAGAGAGGTAAGAAATGTTGATTAACAAGGTGCTAATATTTGGTGATCCCTTTTTGAAATGTAAACATATTTTTCTGCAAATGAGGGAAAGCCTTTTCAGGGCTTTAAATAACTAAACTCTGGACAAGTTTGGGCAGTTCAAGGGAGCAATTTGTGGAAGAGACCCTTGCAGGAGGTCATCATGCATCTAGCAATGACTTGCCCAGAGAGAAACACTCCATCTAGCTGTTCAAGAGACTGTTCATTGGAGTAGACACATAATCCAGCAAACTCTGGAAACCCACCTGAGTAACTTACCCAGCAGAGTTGCAGCAACCAAGAGAAAATGCATGAAGAGCCTGGGAAGAGAGAAAACTTCAAGGCCGTGAAGTATTAGGAGTTATGAGTTGCCTGTGCTGTATCCTACACATGTTCCCCACAACCGTTTTACTCTAAATCTGAGCTCATTCTTCACATGAATGCTTTGTGCATTTGAGGAAGAGTGTGCCCCGAGTTTTGGGGAGGAACGTCCTGTAACTACTTTTCTTACTATGCCATCTCAGTAATCAGTTGCTTTGAGCTAATTTTATCTACTGGCTGGTTTTTAATAGGAAGCACATTGATGGGAGCTCATAAACATAGCTTTAGGATTAGCCACCCACTTCATGCCCACATGTGTTAGTGCAGGTTAGAAGGAGCGCTCCAGGGGAGCGTTACATCAGCAAGTATGAAGCACATTCAGTGTATGCATACAAAACCAAGTTTTCTTTTACAGGAATATAAGCGTCAGATTGACAAACTTGTGAAGGAAATTCAAACTAAAGAGGAAGAACACAAGATGGAAATAAGAAAAGTTAATCTGGATATGCAAAAAAAATGTAGGTGCCTTAAAATTTTCTGTTTGTATGATTTTTAAATATTCATTATACCACATTAAATAAGTTTCCCACTCCCCAAAATCTAATTTTTGTAACTTTACTGCCTTAGTAATTTCACCTTTATATCTAGATGAAACAATACCACGTTTTAAAATGCTATACATTTCAATTTTTTTAAAAACCAATCTTAGGAATTTGTGTTTGATATTTCACCCCAAAACCAATTAATTTGTAGTATGAAACAATATATCTTTTAAAAGTTTGTTCTTTAAATTGAAATAGAAATAACATATTTGGGTATTTTATATGTTTGCCATTTATGATTTAATAAATCATATTCTCTTTCCAGTAAAGAATCCCTTTTGAGTCATGTTCTATCCAATTTGAAGATTGATAGTGTTGTTATTCAGTGGTTTCAGTCATGTGCAACTCTTCATGCCCTAAGGACCTCTTTCCATAGGATTTTTCTTGGCAGAGATGCTGGAGTGGTTTGCCATTTCCTTCCCCAGTGGCAAACAGATGTTAAATGACTTACACAACGTCCTAGTGGATGTTTCTGAGGCTGGATTTGAACTCAGGTCTTCCTGACTCGAAGCCCATTGCTCTATCCACTGCATCATCTAGCTATCTCTAGGTTCATGTAAAATATTTATTAAATGTAAGCCGAATGCATCAAATTAGTGCATCAAAGGACATAAGAGATATAGCACGTACTCCTTGAGACCTTAAACTATAAAGGTAAAGCTATTCCTATATGTATGTATGTATATATATGTATGTATACATACTTTAGTTGTAATTTATATGCAATTTAAAGAAAATCCTTTCTAGATATTTTTAGAAAGTTTATAGTTGCTTATATGCCAACTGGAAATAATAGCCTACATTTTTATAGTGCTTTATCATTACAAAGGATTTATACACATTATCTTATTTTATCTTCACAACAACCTTATGAGGGAAATGTGTTATTAAACAATTACCTGTTATTAAAATCCAAAGACTTATTTGCACAAGATCACACAGATAATGAATGAACCAAAAGCATTCATAAGTGCGAACTCTGCACAAAGCCCTGTGCTAAGTGCTGATAATACAAGCAGTAAAACAAGATCATAAATATTGCTCCCAAGCAGCTCACATTCTAATAAGGAAGACGAGGCATGGCCTATAATAAGCCACAGGACTGGTGTTTAAACCTGGATTTCCTATTCCAAATTTAGTGCACTTTGTGTTATGCCATTTTCTGCAAGAAGAGTCACCGTAAGTGAAAAATGTTTAGAATTAAATCAGCATGAGATTGCAATGATTGCACCCTTGAGGTTCAGCCATATTGTCAGTGAACTTCAAGGCATTTTACTAAATGTCATGAGTTTTAACATTTAGAGAAGATAGTCTTAACGATTTGCTTAAGATGGATGGACCCAAATAGACTTGCAATCCATTTTATGAAATGCTACATAAGAGAATCAACTGCCTAAGAGATTGAAAATGTGAAAAACAAAAATTTATACATCCGTTGTTTTTATCTCCTTCATCTGGAGGAAATATGTTTTGGGTCTTTGGGAATCATATTTCAAGAATTTATAACTAACGTTCCTTAAGTTTTAGATGATGGCACCTGAGATCCCAGCTCGGAAGCCCATTGAGAGACAGAGAAAGGGACGAGCCGGCAGGGGGCGCGCTGGGCAGGCAGTCCTCCCGGAGCGGCTCCCCCGCCCTCCGTCCAGCCTCCAGCTGATGAATGAGCCTCTGCCGCCCCCCCCCCTTCCCGATCGCCTTCTCTGGGGAGGCAGAGTCTTTAAAAACGCGCGCCCCAAATGGGGCTGAACTAACCCCGAGAAACGCACTGCCCCCCTTTAAAGAGAGAGCTTCCTTTGTATTCAATCAGTGGATTAATAGAATCCCGGCTCTTCTGCACAATCCAGGGTCATTGGTTTTGATTTAGGGAGAGGGATTCCTTGTGTTTAATCTTTCAAATCAATATTGTAATTGTGTCCCTGTCCCCCTGCAGCTCCTGCGGCCCCGAGAGGGGACCGGGGCGTCCTCCAGCCAGGGCGGCAGCTGTCGGCTCCTCTCGTCCTTCCAAGACACGGGGGGGGGGGGGGGGGGGGGGACACTTCTCCAAAGAGCTAGCCTTGGTGTCATTTCATCACTAAGTCGTTGTCACTCCTTCTCTGCACCAAGCAGCCAGGTGGTGCAGTAGCTACTGTACGGACCTGGAGTCAGGAAGACCTGAGTTCAAGTCCAGCCTCAAACGTTTCTTAGCTGTGTGACCCCAAGTAAGTCGCTTAACTGTTGCATGCCTCAGTTTCTTCATCTGTAAACTTGGAATAATAGTAGCACCTTTTGGGGGGGGGCACTAGGCAATGGGGTTAAGTGACTTACCCAAGGTAACACAGCTAGTAAGTGTTATGTGTCTAAGGTCGGGTTTGAACCCTGACTCCAGGGTGCCACCTAGCTGCCCTCAATAGTAGCACCCTTCTTGCAGGGCTGTTGTGAGGATCAAATGAGTTAATATTTGTAAAGTATTTTGCAAACTTTAAAGCTAAAGAGTTGTGGAAATAAATGAGTTAATATTTATAAAGTGTTTTGCAAACTATATAAATGACAGCTATTGTTATTACTGTTGATATTTTAGAGCAAGAGTAAGAGAATTGCTTGAGAAACCTGGGTTTAACATCTATTGCTTTTTGGAAGTAGATTTATTTTCTTTCAATTGTGTTTTGATCTCTTGTGTTTCCTAGGCTATAGGTTCTAGTATTTTTAAATTGTATTATTAAAATATTTTTTGATATTTGTGTTTTTATTAGTTGAACTAAATGAAGAAAAACACAAAGAACTGATGGAGAAAAAGGAAATGGAGATTTCAGAGTTGACCACAAAGTTAAGAACTCAAGATATGGAAAAGCAGAATGAGATAATCAAACTACAGATAGAGGTAGTTCTCAGGAAGTCAGATTGAGTTAAAAGCTCTAATATTATGTGTATACCAGCCTTACAGATTACCAGAAGTAAACAAGTCCAGAGCCTAAAAGGAATTTAGCCATTGTAAATGAGATTGAAAACACTGCTCAGAACACTGTGTTTCAGGTATCAGACACTTCCTGTCGACAATTACAGTTATCCCTTTGACATGAAAATTGTGAAAGGGATTAACAAAAATGTTGAATGAAAAAGATCTCTGCCGGGCTGCTGAAACAATAGGACAAGTTCATCTAGGCCTTCTCCTCATTTCTTAACACTGTATAACTCTCTAGAACTGGAAACAACCTTAGAGCTCACCAAATACAACCCCCTTTTATAGATGAGGAAACTGAGGCCAGGAGAGGTTAAATGTCCTGCCCCAAGTTACCTAACTAATCAATATCTGAGGTGGCATTTGAACCCAGTCCCTTCTGACTCCACCACCAGGGTTCTATCCACTATAGCACAAAGTCTCTTGGCCATGTGTCTCTGAAGCGTCCTACAGTAAAACACCATTGGGAACGGCAGATGGGTTAGCCTGTGGTGTGTTGGCCCTGAGTTGGGATCCAGAACAGGCAGGAGCTGGTAATGTGGTGGTGACTAGGCCAGGCCAGGCCGGGCCAGTGGGAGGAAGGCTGATCACATGATATACAGGCAGGATGACAATTGGTACAAACATAAGGGAGCAAGCAGGTAACAGAAACCCTCTTATTCCAAATCCCCTGCTTTTTCCAATGCACCACACTGCCCGTTAATCAATAATCTCTACACTTATTTTTCTGAGCTTGACCTTTTAATCCAGGGCTCTCCAACCTTTTGTGAGCAGTTATTTTTCTCTCCCTGCCCTCCCACCCCGTAGTTTTCACATCATGGAGAGATAGGGGTGGGGATGGAGAGGAGGGTGCTGTTGCTCAAAGTGAACACATCCAGGGCTGCAGGAGCAATAGCACCACTGCTCTCCTTACTGCTGAGAATCCTGACAAAACAAGGAGAAACAAGAATGGAAGAAATAACTAAGAAATCTACTAGCTAAGGCCGTGTGATCTGGAGGCAGGTTCTTTGTAAAAGTGAACTTTTTCTCTAGAGAGTGGCCATGTTCCTAGCACCAGTGTGGCCTGAAGCCTGCCCCTTACTTTTATTTGTCCTGCATCTCTTCCCCTGCTAGGCTGGGCTTTCTGGTGTAATCCTAGATAAAGGGGAAAAGGCAGAGGAAAGAAAGCAAGATCCTTCAGGTCCAAAAGAGATAATTAAACTGAGGGAAAATGTACACTTTACACTAATTTTTTTTTTGAATGAAGCAACCACCTTAAGAATTTTTTTCTTTATGTAATACACTTACCAAAACATAAGACATTTGTCTTATTTGAAAGTGTTTGTAACATCCCTTAACAAGCAATAAATGGTGTTTGGTCTTGTTTGAAAAATCTTCCTTTCTTAAGAATAAGAATCATTCTTAAAGAAAACCAAACTCTGAGTAATTATCATGATTACTCTTGGTCCCAGAACACAACAGACAGGTCTCCTCTCTGCTGAGTGCTGGAGAGGAATATTAGGCTTATATTGTCAGGTCCAGTCACTGTGACAATGGTTGGAATTTAACTGTTTTGCTTTGTTACAAGGAAGATAAAAACAAAAGGCATTAATAAAACATAAAATGTTTTTAAAGGAACTGTTCCTTAAAAAGAAGAGCTTATATTACAAAGAGTAGCTTAATATTATAAAAGCATGGAAGGGATTATACCTGTGGCATAGATATAAAAACACCATAATGAACCATATAATTGTAAAATTCTCAATTTTTTTGTATTTGATTCAGCTTAATGCTCAGCTGGCAAGAGCTCAGACGAAATCAGCAAAATCATATTCTGATTCCACTGTTTTGCCTCAGAATATCTACAGAAGGGTATGTGATTTTGTTTTTTCTTTCATTATGACTCCCATATTGGAGGTCGTGGCTAAGCAATGATTAACTAATAAGTGGTAAATCTGGCCCCATTTACAGTCTAGCCCCCTGCTAGGTAGATCTGAATGATATTGAGCTAGGGTTGAGTTTCACAGCACATATGGCCAAATATTTTCCAAAATACAGAGTTACAGATCTTCCACTCAATACTGAGACTTCGCCACAAACCCCTAAAAATAACTTTGTAACCAATCCACGTTAGTCAGAAGCTAGAGTATAAATCAAAAGATGAAATGAATCACTATAATTATGATATGCCAAAATGCATTTTCCACCTCACATTCCATGCGGAGTTGGTGCTTAACACATATTTGTTGAAGTATAACTATTTGCAAATCATTTTCATTTCTTCCTCCACTCCCAGGACCCCCCCAAATCACCTCAAGGGTAAAGTAACTTATATAACGATATAGGCACATGACCAGAGGCTAATCTCACCTGAGAAAGAGCAAGGGGGTCAGGAGGCAAACTCAAATACATCCCACTCCCAGTGCAAAGAGAAGCAATCACCAAACCCCAACCCATTCCCCTATTTGAGTTCTCAGTGGAAGGGGTGAAATAGAAATACTACTGGAACAGACACTGGAATTGCTAAGCAGGAGTTTTGGTTTAAGGCAGGTAAGGAAGCTCCATAAGCTTTGTGTTTCCCTTCTATTTGCCCCATTCTGTTCTCAGTAGTAATTCCGTGCTCCTTGCTCAGCAGACTTCTTAAGCCAATGATTCCTCAGGTAGCAGGCTTGGTTTTGTAAAGGGGGCCTGATCAGGGTAGTTATTCCCCTTCCTCCTCAAAACCCCTTCCTTACGGTACCTAACCCTCATCTGTTCTTTGGGGTAGTAAAAATTCAGGCATCTGAGAAACATCTGGGATATGGCGTTTAAATATGTCACCAAAATGAGAAAACTGAAGCTATTCCTTACCAATGATAATTCATAGAGCTATTGTAAAGATGTAAAAGATACTCTCGAGGGCAGCTAGGTGGTACAGTAGATAGAGCACTGGCCCTGGAGTCAGGAGGACCTGAGTTCAAGTCCGGCCTCAGACACATAACACTTACTAGCTGTGTGACCTTGGGCAAGTCACTTAACCCCATTGCCTACCCAAAAAAAAATACTCTCTACAACACCAGAAAAATAAAGATTTCTGCCAGCTTGAAAACATAATGTTCATAATTGTATAACAACCTACAACTCCTAGGGGAAAAGTGATGGTCAAATAAGTTAGTATTTGTATCTTCATTCTCTGAGACTATTTTATTATAAAGGGTGCCATTTGTAAGATCTTATGAAGTTGTACATTAAAAAATATTGCACGTGAGAATTTAAGGTGACATCACTGAAATGTGAATATATTCCTCCTGAGATCATACCATTCATACGCCATACGCTGTTACCATGTTGTGCTATGTGGTATCACAACAGCTATGTGATTGTCTTTAAAGAGTTCTAAGTTAAGAAGAAAATTGCTAAAATTTCACAATCATGACAGAGTAGAGCCAGTTTCTACTGGGTTTGGAAGATCTGAGTGCAAATCCTACTGCTTGCACCAGCTAGCTTTGTGACCCTAGCCAAGTCACTAAAGCTCTTAGTGTCCCAGGTAGCTCTGTAAAGCAGTTATCCTTCTGCATCAGTAAAGGGAGTTTCACCACAGAAGTTCTCTACAGTAATGAAATCATAACTTCCCCCCTCCCCTAAACCAAACCAACCCCTTGTACCTCATAGGCTTGCTATGGATACTGAGGAAAGTGCAAATGCAAACTGTCATTCCTGTATTGGACTAACAAAAGACTTGCTGCTTCCTTTAGAAGCTCCAGCATCTCCAAGAAGAAAAAAACAAGGAAATTGCCATTCTTCGTGATACCATTCGAGATTTAGAGCAGCGCCTCACCATTAGCAAAGACTCTCACCTCAAGCGAAAACGGCCTTGATCCCAGCTGTGAGCTCTCCTTGTCAATCAGCCTCTTTACACACAGTGGGAATAGGTCAGCATCACACAAACAGCTACCCAACAAACAGGCACATACACAAAGCTGAAACTTTGTTTTATTGAGAGTTTGTTCATCTTTTTTACAATCCCACACAGTTATCAGATTTTCAAGTTCTAGTTGACATTCTTGCTTATTAGTATTAACCATAAAAGAGTTCAGGTCCATAGAAGTAAATTTACCTACTGAACCATCATTGACTATGGGAATACTTCCTAAGCAACCTGCTAGTAAGATGTCAGTCTTTTATTCTTTCATTTCCAGACCTTTCTAAAGAAAAACTCTCAAATGTTTAATAGTATGATGCAGGGCTAAATAAAGAAAACAAGACATTGCAAAAGTTTTATTCCTATCTCTAACTCTCCAAAATCAAGTAGATGAGTTAAACGACAAAAATGCACAATAAAAAGCTGTCACGTTAAAGTAATGTGGTTTCATATACACTTTTTTAAGCAAAGTTAACATGCACCTTGAACTATGAGGTGTGATTCTTTAATTTCTCAGCTTAGAAAAAGTAGCATTAAAAAGACCTCTAAAGAGAAAAGTAATATAAAATAAGGCAAATATGTTTTTTTTGGTTTTCTTCCATTCTGAATTGCAAATGGTCCAACAGAAGCCCCTAGGTCATAGTTTCGGCTTCTGTCTTCATTGATGCAAACAGAACACAGGGAGAGAAACAAGAAAGACATATTAACCAGAGGCTGCAGTCACCTTTTGGTTGGCACTGAAATAATGTGGTTTGGTTCCAATTCCTCTGGCAGGAAGTTCTCATTTTGGAAGCCAATATAGTAGTCACTTGAATGCTTAAAGTTCTGATCTCCAAATCTTTTCACAAATTCAATTCTAATTTAGGATCACTTTTTATTAATTGGGTACTTTGTGAAATGGACAAAAATTAAAATTTTTAATAAGCAAATTTATTTCCACTACCAACTAGCTGGCAGTGGAATCATGTCCAAACTTAGAGGGTTTCTTTTTTTCATGTTTAAGCAGTTTAATTTGTAGATCATTTTCAACTTCCTGCCTTAGTTTTTCATTTTCAAGCAGCACTAGCTTCTGTGGGCTCAAGCTGCTGACCGGGATATCAGGCAGCTGGAGGTGAACGGCACTGACAGGATTCAGTGATGTTTTCCTCCGCCCGTTGCCCCTGTCAGCTGCATGAGGCAGGAAGCGTAGTGCCTTTACATTGTCAGGTGACTGACTTGCCTAACCGTTCAAATATCAAATGTCGACAATGGCAGCAACAGCTCTTAGGAGCTGACTCTGCACCTTGGGACAAATTTCAGAGTAGCTGGTTTGCACAACCAGCTACTCTCTTTCCTCAGAGTTTCTTTCTTGGAACAGAAAGCTCCAAAACCCTGATTTCTGGATTTTCTTGGCTCCCTGGGTGATCTATGTGCTTGTGCTGGTGGTGTGTAGACTCCTGGTGACGATGAAGACCTTGCATAGAGTGAGCATCGATAGCTGTCTCAGAATCTTCTGATTTCTTATTCTCTGAAGGCTTGTGCCCGTGCCTGTGATGACGCTGGTGGTGGTGGTCATGGTGATGGCGGTGATGCTGGGGGTGGGGGGGAGGCTGAGGGTCAGGGGTTGTAGTTGTTTCTTCCTCAGTTACCAAAGATGCATTCTTGCAAAAGCTTTCATCATCTAGGGTCTGAAATAGAGTAATACCACTACATAAGCCACTCATCAATAGCCCTATTAAAACGTTTCCACTTGACTTAAGAGGAAAAGAAGGAGTAAGCTGGTGATTATTCAGAGAAATGACGCATCTCTGACATACTGGTTATTATTTAGTTACCGTTTCCTTATTCTGCTCAGCACACTATAAACAACATGTTGTCATACTGCCAGATCAGTCGCACACACCGTTTAGGCAGTACCACTACTAAAGTCATTGCTAGCACTGGCAGAAAAAAAAAAACCACTGTGTTAATAAAATTTCAAAATATTTTTCACCTGCATTAATGCCACTACTTTGCATTTCCATACACAGAAGTTGAATATGACAAGTTTGGGGTAAAGGCCTCCAGACAGTTAGGTACTGCCATTAGTTGACCTACATGGCTAGGTCAGCAATATGCATGTTGTCCAGCATTGTTTCCAGGGCAAATTAACCTCTCTCTGACACTCAAAATGCTAGCCATACACTCTGCAAAACAGGTAGTTCTTCATACAATAGGACTATTTTGAAAGTTGGTTGGTTTCTTTTAACTGTCCCTAACACAATAGCTTTATTGGTAAGTCCTATGCCAACTAGAGCATTACTAAGCAAAGTTAATGATTTACTGACCTATTTCTTCAGGACTCCAAGTTTTGTCAAGGTACCCATGGGTAAGGAAGGGGAGATTAATGAGCATGGGGAATCTCAAACCCTGTTGGTACAGCAGCTCAAAATTAAGCCTAAAACACACTAAAATCAGTTTGAGAAATAAGAGCATTTCAGGGATGCATGTTCCAGTGCTAGGCCTCACATTTTAGGAGACTTGGGAAGTCACAGAAGTTCCACTGAGTGATTTGTATATAACGGTTAGGTAGCAACTTTTTAAAATCATGTCTTCATTACCACCTGTGTTAATAAAGACCCCAGAAGCATTTAACCTTTATTTATGAACAGTTTAAGCTAAGTGTTTGAAAGAGTAGAGATCTCTAACAAAAGGAACAGAATGATAAAACAAAATAATCTCTTAAGTAATTTTTCAGAAATTACCTCATTAGAAGTTGTTGCATGTCAGAGAGGTACTCTACACTCACTCATACTCCAATATATATATAGAGACATGTACATATCTATATCTATGCATAGATAGATAGATAGATAGATAGATAGATAGATAGGTAGATAGATAGATAGATATTCTCTTTAAGGAATTCCTTAGGTTTCTCCAGTACCAAAATTAGGCTTTCATTACTTTTGTAAGATATTTTGTAATCGAGATATTTCTAGAAGGCCAGATTGTAAATTTAGAGCTGGAAGGGATCTTATATTCTCTCTCATGCTCAGGTACCTAGGCACAGGTGAATCCAAAGCACTGAAGGAGGAAATCAGAAAGATGTGAAGTTAGATGATTAAGTTGGGAACCTTTTTGTGCCTTGACAGGAATCACATAAAATAGCATGGTTCCTCTCAATTCCATAAATACATTTTGAGTACCTCCTATGTGCAAGGCACCAGAGATATAGTCCCAAATCTCTAATTAGGCACTTGAAGTTGCATTTGCTCTTTAGGCCCAGTGGGCACCATAGGCCAAGTATCATGATAATCAATTCTATTATTAGGAGAAAGACTCCATGTAGGTCAACTAATAGTACGGTTTTTAGCTATCTGGTGACCCTCACACTCAATTTATATCTTAAAAAATTTTTATGGAAATACAAAACTCTTAAATGGAAAATGCTTTGAGGTCCTCCCATTAAATGTAAATTATAAACAAAACATTTTCTATCCATAATAGCAACGACAACCAGTGTCAATGGAAACACAACCTTGATATTAACATAGTCTAGATCACATCATGCATGGCTGATATTTTAGGTTAAAACTGTTTTTCAAAAATGGACCTAGCATACTGAAAAATGGGTTGAATTTTAAATAATATTGTTGTAAAGTAGTTTGATGTTGATTAGTCACAAAATGCCAACTTTCTTAAACATCTCCTAGAATTATTTTCTTTTCCCCCTAGACTTAATTAAATGAAAATACCATGTATGAGCAGTTTCCGCAGCTTTTTTCACAGTAAGCAATTTTAATGGCTTCTTCCACATATGAGAAAGTCAGAAAGGAGTAAGGCAAACCAAGATGATACACAAGACGGCCACATCTAAACAAAGACAAAATACAAAGATCATATCATAACATCATTTAAAGAAAGTTTAACCATACTGAATTCTTAAAACATTATCTTCTATTCTAGAACCTCACTCTAATACTGTGGCTCATACTGTGAAAGCACAATATGGGTGAAATCCTGTTACATTTTGAACTTTGAACAACAAATTCCCTCGGATGGAATACAAAAGGAAGACCAGCCTCAACTGAATGACATGTTATCGTGTGTTTATAATAAACAGGAATATAGCATTTTTTTAAAAGTTTACTGACATTTTTAACTGAAAATTAAGTCACCAAAGTCAAGCACAGTAGTTGCAAATAGGTCAAATAAAGCTTTGTAACATAGTTAGAATTTGCCAGAACCTGAGCTACTTTCTTCAGTACTATAATTATTCACTATAAGTGGCATTTGCCCCTTAGGCCAAATATTACAACAGATAGTAGAATGAGAAATTTCAGGATAACACAGAGATTTCCAAATTCTAGCCAACAGTTGGCTTGTTTCAAATACAGTGGATATGTTTAAAAAAATTGGAATGGTCAAATCACTGGGATTCTAAGCCTTGAAATTGGCTTTAGTAAGCCCACTAAAGCTTCCTCCTAAGCAGGTGGAATATCAGAATTACATCCTGATATTGTCATTTTGTTTCCACCCTCTAAGCAAAATTCAGAAATACCAGACCAGACCAAATCAAGACGAGCCTTGAGAGAAATCTCTTTTGGCCTTGAATAGTTCTATCTAGAGGTATCCTAAGTAGGTAGGTAACATTCAGGACAGCTGGAGAGGGGAGACTGGTTTTTTTAGGAATCCCCTATACCAGCTGGGTCAAACTCAAATGGAAATGGAAGCCACTAAACCTTACCTAAGGATCCCTGTGGGCCACACATCGACTTAAAAAAAATCACATAAGTAACGTTATCTACGTTCCATTGTATTGTTATTTATTTTGTTAAATATTTGCCAATTACAGTTAATGTAGTTCAGAAGCATGGTGGCCACTGCTGCTTGTCTGACACCTCGGCCCTATACCATTTGTCCACAAGAAGCAAAAATTCTAAGAGGATAAGCCTGGAACTAATTGCCTAGACCTGATTCCAGAAGAGTCCTCTCAACCTAGAACCACATCCATCCAATATTTAGGGGGTATTAAAATATGATATTCCCCCAGCTTGGCAGATCTGAAAAGGCCCATGGAATGTCACTCCAGCCCATCCATGCCTTCCCCAGGGAATAGTGGCTGGTCTAGAAACAAGAAGACCAAAGACTGGGAACTTCAGTGTGTCATCCCAAAATGCCTAACTTAGGATAGCTCAGGCCCTCACAGAATTTTGTTCAGTAGGCTTGACCATATTTCCTTTGAGGTTCCCAAAAAATATAACTGCCTTATTCTTTCATGAAGTATAGTTATGATCCAAAAGAGTAGATTAATGCAGATTAAATGGGGGTACTATGAATAAAGCATGCTCCAAATTCAGAAATCTAGATAATTCTTACTATAAATAAGACCGGACCTTTAGGATCCTAAAGGCCATAGGACCACAGAGTTAGAGCTGAAAAGGACCATAGAGTTCAACCTCCTGATTTTACAGAAGAGAAAACTGAGGTGCAGTGAGGTTAAGCGACTTGTCCAGGCTCACAGGGGTGCAGTACGCATCAGAGATGGACATGAACCTAGGGCTACCTGACTCCAAGTCCGGTGCCCTATCTGCTATGTCATGTTGCCTCCAGTTTTGACTTCCCTGGATGAAAGTAACTTTGATTAGAACTACATATGATATAGAAGTTGATCCTTCTTTGTAATATTCTAATATGCAAATATGAAATGGAAGTTTTTTTCACTGTTTATTAATGTCAATTATACTTATTTCCATGCATGCTAGAAAGGTGAAATATTCCAATATTAAGTGCTTTGCTTATTCAGAAGGGAAAAAATGTAAACATAAAACCAAAACACAATGATATACTTCTTTTGATATAAACATGGTTTTGTGATAAAGCAAAAACAATTTTTTATAAATGGCTAACAGTACAAATATGAAAATACAAGTCAGGTTTCTTTCATTTAACTCTGCAATTCTATATATAGGAACACACCTGTCATATATGAGAAAGTCATCCTTGTTGCCATTTAATGTAGTCCAGACATCTTTTTGATTTTCTTCTTGTTGATAAACAGTAATATTCTCTGAAACCTTATCTTTTAGATGTTTGAAATGTAATTGAGATGGGTTTCCCTGATGGTTGACAACAATGTATGAGATATTGGAAAATCCTTCACTCTCCAATTTCATTCGCAGGTCTTCCAATCTAAAATATTTGGAAAGAAAAAATTTCTCATTTTATTTAAGTAATAGATATATTCTTTTTTGTTATGAATCAGCAGCCTCCGTGTAGCCCCCTTTCTCCTCTTATCTTTCACTTCCTCTTTTTTCCCTATCCTCGTGTCTCCCTTCCTTTTTCTTCCTCTTTCTGTTTCCCCATACCACGACTCCTGGCCTAAAGTAACCCAATCTGAATTAAGGACAAGAAAGAGCATGAGAGCTAGTGTCAGGGAGCACTCAAGCCAGCTGTGGGGATGGTAAGGAATGGACCACCTGGCTTTTGGGGAACAGAAAGTGCCAGTCCAAACTCATGCTCACATTGCAGGTTTGGAGATTGCTGAGAGAGTTGTTGTAGAGAGGATAAAGAAACAGAGCTAGAGGAACCCAAAAGCTATAATGGAATGACATCAGCTATGATGGAATAGGAATGCTAAGGTTACAATTAGATCTGGGAGACACACTGAGCCCTACTGGCCTTAAGCTGCCAGCCCTGAATTGTGTGAACATGGAATCTGGGAAGGAAGGCATGGGTCAAAAATACCAATAATTTACATGTATTTAGACAATGGAGTTTGACATAACCTCACCTAGCCTCACAACATCCCTGTTAGAGTAGGCAATGCAAGTAATATTGTGCCCATTTTACAGAAGATGAAACTAGGGCTCAGAAGGGTTAAGTGATTCATTCAAGGTCACACAATTATTGAGTGACAGACCTGGTGCTCAAACACTGGTATCTCGGGGCAGCTAGGTGGGGCAGTGGATGGAGCACCAGCCTTAGAGTCAGGAGGACCCGAGTTCAAAATCCGGCCTCAGACACATAATACTTCCTAGCTATATGACTCTGGGCAAGTCACTTAACCCCAATTGCCTCACTAAAAAAAAAAAATCTATTGGTATCTGTTCCCAATCCAATGTTCTCACTGCAAGGGTTAGAGAGGGGAAACAGGTCCTCTTTAGTGATAGTTGGAAATCTGTGATTGTGAAAAGATCAGTTTTGCTTCACAGTCAGTAAGTCCAGTGGCATGTGATTGTTCACTGATAAACTGATCATTGATAAAATATAGGTATGGGGGAGTGAAGGTTATGGCAAATACTACTGATGCATAACACATTTAAACATAATTCACTTTCAGCTGAGCTAAATGTAGAATCCAAGTTGCTAGAAGTTTTTAAAGTTTAACTATTCTGCATGTTTTTAGGAAAGATGCATTTTCATCATATTCATGTCATGCCCATCTTCCCCAAAGTGCTCTATACATAGTGGATACCCAATAAATGCTTGTGGGATAAATTACAATTTCTCCTTAGCCATATTTTCTAGTTGCCTTGTGAATTCAATCACGCTAAGGAAACCAGAATCACCTTTTTTCCCTGAATTTCTCAAAACTTCATGTCTATATTTGATGAAGTTATTACTTAGTGGCAGAAATAGTTACCAGTCTTTCAAGGCTAAATGCTATCTCGTTCACCTCTTCTAGGAACTGAAGCTCGTTTTGACATTCAGTTAGTTAGGATATTCTTTGTGAAAATGCATAGAATTTAGAATTGGAAAGCACCTTAGAGATCATATCTAGTTCAACTCCCGCATTTTCCAGAAGAGGGAACTGAGGCCCAGAGAAGTTAAGAAACTTGCACAAAGTCACATGGGTCAGCTATAGCAGAGCTAGATTTGAACTCATGTTCTTTGATTCCAAATCCAATATTCTTTCCATTATACCTCAAGAATATTCCAAAACAATTATAATTTGACCAACAATCTGTGAAAAAGATACAAATTCGGGGCAGCTAGGTGGCGCAGTGGATAGAGCACCAGCCCTGGATTCAGGAGAACCTGAGTTCATATCCGGCCTCAGACACATAACACTTACTAGCTGTGTGACCCTGGGCAAGTCACTTAACCCCACTGCCTAGCCAAAAAAGAAAAAGAAAAAGATACATATTCCCTAAACTACCAAACATATAATAACCTGATTTATATTTAAAGTAGCTTTTTTATGGTGGTTTGGAGTTTGTTTTTAAATCAATGAATTTTGAGATAAAGATATCTAAATGATTGGCATCAATTCTACACAAGTGGTGTCTAGTTAAGTTTTAGCTATAATGAATACATTTTTTAAAACATAGCTTTCCCCTTTTTAGAAACAGTCAATGAATATTTATTGGACATCTACTATGTGAGAAAATCACAGATACTATTGTTATCAGTTAGAATGTAAGCTCATTAAGACAGGGTCAGTTTAAATTTTGTCTTTCTATCTCCAACACATTTAAGAAAGATGATCGAGAAGACATCAATAACTACCAATCCATATAACTATTTTCCCATCTTTACAACAATATAAGAATAATCGACTGTAAAACGTAGTAAATAAAGAAATAAGACAGATAAAAAAGGTGTTAGATGACAAAAAAAAATGATGATCTCCATTTATATCAAGAATACCCTGTATAAAAATATGAGAAGGGATGAGGTAAGCTTCTGCAAACACTTTCCTCCAGCATACAGTTGTATCAGCATGAAATTAGAACAGTACCTGGCACATAGCAGGCACTCAAATTAAATCAATACTCATTAAATAAAAGGTGCTGAGAATATGTGATCCTGCTTTAATGACTGTTGAATAAGAAATTGAAGTTGAATTCACTTCATAGATATTAAAGGAGAGATTCCACACAAGGAATTTTTCATGCATATGTTAAGATCATAAGTACTTCTCAAATGCTACTACTGGGATAACTATGTTCAATAATTAGTAGCATCAAGTGAGTGATAAAACAGGGAGACATATTCTTCCTAATGGCAATGCCCACAGCCATGGATGACATCCTATTCAAAGACTTAGTGGAAGAGCAGTCCCCTACAAATATTGAGGCCCTTCAAAGATTCTTATTTTCAGATGATATTGGGGTAATTGGATCAAGCTCTACAACACTACAGGACTAAATCAATTTGAGTTATGATTAATCAAAAGAGATGACGGCAATCCATAGAAAGAGAAAAAAAACTAAATAGATGAAAAATTACTTATCCAAACTATGAGATCCATTTGGATGGGAGCATGTATGTGTATACACATATGTATATGTGTATGTAAATACATAAATGCTAATGACTGATAACAACTGACAGATAGTGAATTGGGCCCAGAATTTTCAGAAGGAATAGAGCAAGCTGAATCAATCTGAGAAATTGCACAGTGATTTTTAAGGATCCTAAGTCATCCCTGGCACAAAAACCCAAGGTGTTAACACACATGATCTCTGGGTGATACTTTATAATTGTGAATCTCAGCATAGCATGATCTCCAAAGAACCAAAATTGACCCCAGGGTCAAGGAAAAAACTTAACGATGGGCACAAGTAAGCTGCCACATATTTCCAATGATACCCCATGCACAAAAAGTGGCATAAAGAAATATTCAAGAAATGAATTTTTAGAAAAGCAGGTAGGCTATCTTCCATGAATGTAGATCAACGGATAAAATATGGGTAGACCAGGAGCTGCACTGGTACCAACAAAATAGAAGAAGACCTAGAAGAAGGTCTCCAACTCCATAAGTAATCCTTTGTAGAGGACCATAGAAAACCCAGACAAGAGAGGCACAAGGTGAGAGGGCAGCACAAAAATAACCTTAATCAAATTGCTTACCATTTTAGTTGTGTTTTTTTTTTGGGGGGGGGTGAGGCAATTGGGGTTAAGTGACTTGCCCAGAGTCACACAGCTAGTTAAGTGTTATGTGTCTGAGGCTGGATTTGAACACAGGTCCTCCTGACTCCAGAGCCAGTGCCCTTGCTTACCATTTTAGGGAGAGAGGAGGGGAGGGAGGAAGGGAGAAAAATTTGGAACTCAAAATCTTATAAAAATGCTAAAAAATAGTCTTTACATATAATTGGAAAAAATACTTTAATAAAAGATGAGAAGGTATGCATGTGATATGATCTATAGTGCTAGGGTTAAAATACCCACCTTGATGCCATCAGAGTTCCAGTGATAAAGAAAAAGTTGCAAAGCTTTCAATATAAATTTAAAATTATATTTTATATTTACTATATATTAGTTTATATTTGATATATTGTATTTATTTTATACATTCAATAAATATAAATTCAATATAAAGCCACTCAAATAAAAGACACAGTCCCTGCCCTTATGAAACTTACAATCAAGAAGCCTAAATTCGGAAACACAGGGAACTACAATACATAATCATTTTATGACATGCATCAGAGAGGTGAAAAATACAATGTTTTGTGGAAGTGTGGGGCATAAATGAAGATGTTTAAAAGTCCTTTAAAACCTTAAAACCCTCTTACCTGGAGGCCTGCAGAATGCACAAGTATCAGCTGGCTTGGAGGAGGGCAACCACAGTCACTCTACCCAGAGAGTTCAGCATTGGCTCTTGATCTCGTATGTGCCATTTTGGAGCTTCTCTGCACCGGACGCTTTGCACCTGGCTCTCTGTTCCTCCAAAGGGGAGGAGACAGAGAGCCAGGGCAAGCGCCAGGCCTCTCCACATTGTGGAGGTTTTCCTGGAAATAAGGAAACTGCTATATAGTATCCATGATGAGAATCACTGACATTTCTATAGTATCCTAAAGTTTTCAAAGTGAAGGAATGAATGAGTTTATTAGCATTTAATAAGTGGTACTATATTTCAAGCATGGCTAAGATCTGGAGAGATATAATCTTGTTTGATCTTCAAAATGACAAGGTAAAGCAAATGTTAACAGGTATTAGTATCCCATTTTACATGTGAGGAAACTGGCCCAGAAAGATTGGAAGTCAAGGTCATACTGCTACGTGTCAGGGGTAGAGTTCAAAACCAAGATTCTTTCAATTCCAGTCCAGCACTGGAGAGAGACACTACATCAGGCTACAAATGTGTGTTCTCCCTGTAGGCCTCTAAAATACCAAATACAACTGATGAAGTCAAAGTTAGCACAAAGCTCCACTTCCAAGGATTATATTCCTGGCAAGTAACTAAAACTTAACCCTTGGAACTCAGATCCTATCTACTACAACGTCTTTGAGATTATATTTGGCTGTACCTTACACTGTAAGTCAGCTCAGCCAGATCCACTTTAACAGTTAAATTACTGTGGCCCAGAAAAAAGGAAAAACAAAAAAACAAAACACTCTGCCCAGTATAGAGCCATAACTAGAACATTTTTGGCACCCAAAGCAAGGAGCACAAAATGGGAGTGGAAGAGGCAAGGCAGGCAGAAGAGCAGACAAACCTCAGGACACCTCAATACCGAGACTCCCAAGGCCATGGGAGACTGGAAAGGGTGGGACGTTGGAGAGTTCACCTGGGATCCCACCTCCTGGGGAGGAAGCAACTAAGCTTCCTATTTTAATTAATTATCCTAACTAACTAACTGTCCTAATTATCCTAACTAGGCTCAGTTGTTTAGGATTACAAGTACTTCTAAATTTGCCCTGTAAATTTCAGGACTGTTAGGCAAATTTCAGCTGGCTCTATCCTAGTTTTAACTTTCACCTAATACCTCTATAAACTCAGATGTTTGTTTAGCATAAAGTTGATATTCTAGCCACTAAATCATGTTATTTGACAAGTTGTTTTTTTAATAAATAAAATCTTATTTGAGTCTGCATGCTCAACATAAATTGTCACTTTCACTCCTCTATAACAGGCATTTTTAACTTGGATCCCTTTGGCAGTCTGGTGAAGCCAATGTACCCCTTCACAGAATAATGTTTTAAAATTCTTACAATAAAGCAAACAAAATTATGAAGGATACTAATTATTTTGAAGACATAATTTCCCCCCATCCAAGTTCAAGGAATCACTGAAATCTATCCATGGACCCCAGATTAAGACTACCTTCTCTATGGGGACTGAAAAAGGACACAAAGGTTTAGGGGATTAATCAAAATGACTGACCTTAAAACAACCAAGACAGCCATGGAAAGTATCACCAAATGAACCAGGCTAGCTTTAGAATCATATGAGTTTCTCTATCTCCTAAAGCCTCCCCATTTTTCTTCCCCTTCCTGAAAGTCTATCCTTTGTTTGTTGAACTGTCAGGGAGCTATACTTGCTAATTGAAAGGCAGGTCTACCCCGAGATAAACACGGCCCCCTGAAAGCCCAAGTTCATTTGGTAAACCCATGGGTAATAATTATTATCATACAGCCCACTCACTCATGGTGCTTTAAGGTAATTCAAATGCTTTCATCACACCAGCATTATGAAGTAGGTAAGTGCAGGTATTATTCCCTCAACATTTTGGAAGAGGAAACAGGCTCAGAGAGAAAATGACTTATCCAAGAGCATCCAGCTATTGTCAGAGTAAACTCTCAAGCCATGGGAACATATATTTTATCTGGGATATTCTCCTTGGGGTTCAGAAGTTTAAAGTTTTAGGGGACCAACTACCTCTACTGTAACCAAGGGGTACATAAGATCAGGACTAGGATATGTGCCCTCTGAGTGGAGGGGCAACTGAAAAATGACCATAAACGTTTGAAATGCCATTTTACAGACAAATATGTAGCCAAACTACTAAAAGAGAAGTGAAGCTGGCTCAGACACAGGAGTATGTAGGTAGAGGATGAAGTCAGAATCCCAAAAGCTCTTGTGTTTTATGGCAATCCCAGGACCAATCAAAAGAACATTTTTTGGAATTGTAAAAACAATCAAAGCTTAGTTTATTCACAATGGAAATGGACATTGGAGGGAGACTAGGGGAGGCATAGTGTCATGATAATGTATTATCCAATAAATTAGTAAACAAACAAGCTTCTGATCCTGGAAAACAAGGGGATACTGCTTTAAGCTAGCCTGCATTACCGCATGTAGCTGAAGAGTTTATTTTATGGTAGCTCCTGCAAGGAATTTCTGCCAAGATTTATCTGGATCCTTGCATGTTCTTCTGTTGAGGAGAACCAAAGTGTCTGAGTATGACCCACACATTATTTAACACTTCAAAAACAGGATAAAATTATATCTATGTAGGAATTCCTAACATGATATGACCTCATATCATTGCCAGATGCATAATTCTGTAATGTAATGCTGAAGCTCCCTCTGGTGTTCAGTGTGTGAAAGACAAAAGATTTCAGGACTACTGAAAGGTTTCAGGACCTATTTCAGTCTTTCTAGGATACTCCTAATAATACTGTAACTCATAATAATATTAATAGACAAATTACTTGTAATAACTTTGGCAACTTTAATCTGACACCTTTGTTGGATTTCATTTTTAAAAGACCTTTTATTTGTAACTAGAAAGGCTTAAATATTCCTGCTTTACTGACTATTTCTCTCGGGTTTTAGCTATTTGAAAGTGACCTCAGCACTGTATACTTTTGCCACTTTAATTAATAATGAATTCCCAGCAAAAACAAATGGATAGATAAATAGAGCCAATACTATGGACTCTCTCAAAAGGAAAAGTCATAGAGCCTTATGCTCCACAGTTATGAAATAATTCTGTCTCCTGACTACTTGCCTTAAGGGCATTTTGTATGTAACATATGATGGCACAGCAGGTAGAATTCTGGGCTTGGAATCAGAAAACCTTGAAGCACTGTGTCATTAAGTTATTAAGTTATGGGCATAGCCTTTTGATACTCCCTATTATGGACAATAAATATTCTCTAAAATGATTTGTATTTGCAACCTTAAGTGACCCAAACAAATTTACAGTATAGATGATTGGGTTGATCATCTATATGTTAAATATTATTATTACAGCACATCCACTCCACACCTCCTAAGTTAACCCTCCCAAAGTGCTTTTCAGTGCTTTCCTATAACGCTTGTGTAAGAAACGCCTCCTCAGACAAGGAGAAAGATACGTAAAAGTTTCCTTCTCCTCCACTTGGCATTCTCAACTTTTCTACCCCACAACATTTCCAGAAAGTTCCCTCCTGGCGAAAACAGCACCCGGGCCGCCCACCACCACCACCACTCCCCAATCCGTGCAGCAATCGTAACCCCTGGTGGCTTAAGCTCCGGGGCTCGGCTGAGGCACCACTTGCCAGCTCCAGCCAGAGTCTCCTAGGGGCTAGTGTTCGTGCAGCGCCCGAGATGGGGAAAGCGCCTTGAGCTTGCTGATCCTGCTGCTGGCAGATGTAGCTGCTGTTGAACTTGCCATGGCTAAGTAGCCACCTGTGGACTCTCCACTCCCTCCTTGGCCCTTTCATGCCTTGCAGAGCAAACAGTAACTTTGCAGGCATGGATATTTAAACTGCATCCTGCTTTTTTTCTTGGGAACCGGTCCCTGTTGCCATCTCAAAGCTCCTTCATCTCTAGCCTTGAGATTACTTGAAAATTCTGGGAATAGGATTTTCAGAATAACCAGAAACCGTCACCTTGAGGGCTGCCCGTTATCTAAGCCCCGACCCCACCCCAAGACCAGACAGAAGCTTTATTTCCCCCGCTTCATTGCTTTATTAATGGTGTTTCTTTCCACAAACCACGTTTATGTGGTGCGTGCCTAATATATGTATGCTGAAGTGTGAAAATGCACGCACTGTGTGTATAATATATATATATGTAACTATGCATGCATTGTGTATGTGTGTGTCAAAGTTAGGCAGAAAGAAACGAAAACACGTTTGCCCAACTCAAAAGTGCTGCGGGTGTAGGAAGAGCTGGGTGCCCACTTACGCTCCCTGCTGCGCGCTCTGCCCGGCTCGGCTCGGCTCTGCCCAGGTGTGCAGCTGCTACTGACTCCTTCCCGAAACGGGACGCGTCCCCACCCGTCAGCTCTGGCCGCTATTTATACTCCGCTTGTTTATTTCCCTAGCTCAACTGTGGTCCAGAGTTCAGGGCTCCCAGACCTAAATGACCTTGCAACCAAAGCAAATCACTTGGGATCTTTTGTGACTAACGTGACTGGTGGCAGCAAGTGTTCCACGCATAGCAATGAAGATAGTGAGGGGACACGGGGGAAATAATAATATAACTTATTTTTTAAAATTTCCCCCTCCCCAGTGGATTGGATTAAATGGTACAGTCGGGGGCGGGAAGAAGGGTAAGGCGGTCCTTCAAGTCACATTCTTTCTAAAGCTATAAAGAGGAAAAATATGTGCTGAGCCAGCAAGCTGTGGTTTAGAGGGGGAATTTTTTTTTTGCTTTGTGTTTTGAGTGTTGAGCTCTGTGTGTGTGTGTGTGTGTGTGTGTGTGTGTGTGTGTGTGTGTGTGTGTGTGTGTGTGTCCCTCAGTCGGTGTGTTGGTATCCTTCACCTGTTGGTCTTTCGAGGATATGGAACTGGGACCTGACCATGTGTTTGTGTATTTGCTGTAAAAGGAGTCTGTTATTTTTTCTCTTGCATTATTTTGGTGCATTCAGGGCCCAAATCAGGAGCAACCTCCCAGGATCCCTCCTTCTATACTTTAGAATTTTGGTTCTGTTAAGATGGACAGACATTTATTCAGCACCTTCACTGTTCAGAGCCCTGGAAACAAGACAGCCCAGTGAGACAGTCTAGGGCCTACATCCTCAAGTTTGTGCTTTGACTGAATCCAAACTTCACAGGATAAATCCCCTTAATAAAAGGATTTGTTCTGTAAAACTTGGACTTAGTCAAAAGTCCAAATCCAAGCATGTAGAAGGCTACATGTGGCCTCTTGGCCACAGGTTCCAGCCCCCCCCCCCATCTAGGCCCTCATGAAGAGCACATCGAAACATACTTTATACTTTAATACTTGCATATATCCTGGATCTCATCAATGTGAGTACTTCCCCCAGAAGTGCAGATGGTAAGCCATCTATCCTCTAATTCTGGGTGATTCTTGCCCATATCCTTCCATAAATTTTCTTAAAGGAGTGCTCCAAAGTGCTATCAACCTTTCTCAGGGTCTTCTAAGATGTGGGGAGAGGAAGGAAACTGGACCAGTGCAGCATTCAAGCTATCCCTGTTGTTATTCTTAGCCTTCCACAAATAACCAGCCAATCTTCTCATCAATAATTGGTCCCCAGGATGAAAATATATGATTACTGAAGAGAAGCACAATAGTGCTGCATGAAATCTAAGGGAAGGAAGGTTGGCACTGATTTGCTTGGAAGGGGGTGAGGGATTGGTCTGGTGGAGATGCCCTATGAATTGGGCTTTGCAGGAAGGGTAAAGCCTGAAAAAGTGAAGGAGCCTTACAGGTATAGAGAACAGTCTGAGAAAAACCATGATGCCAGAATTGTGTGAGGAGACAATTCATTTTGACTGAATCATAAATTATGTGGAAGGTAAATAAAATTGGAAAGGTAGGAGTGCCAGATTGGGGCTTGGGGCCCTTGAATGCCATACCTAGGAATTTAAAATTTGCTTAATCATCACTGACATAGGGAACCATTTGAAGATTATCATGCAGGAAAGTAACATAGACAGATCTGTGCATGAGGAAGGTAAGTCTGACAGTGGTGTGACAGATGAGAAGGAAAGACAACAGAAGTGGGAAGACCTACTAGGATACTCATATAGGTGGTAATGTGGGCCCTGCTAGAGTATGAATAGAAAAAGAAGGAGCAGAGGTAAAAGATGTAGAATTGACAAGACTTGGTAACTTCAGGAATGTGAGGGGTGAAAAGGAAATTCCTGTGCCCTTCCCTATTAAATAAGGTAGAGGTGGGAGATTTTCTTCATTGGTGAAACATGGTACAATAACTTGTTTAAGCTTTTCACACTAAGGGAATAGAATTAGTCTAATTAATGCCTCCATCCTCTGCTCGATTTTCTGTGCTCCCCACTCCCATACTTTTCTAACATTCTGCCTTATATAGCCTACGTTGTAACTCATCTAAAAGAATGGAGATAATAATTCTGACCTGACCTGCCTTGTAGTTGTTTTAAAGATTAAATTAGATTGTGGATATGAAATCATTTTGCCTCCTGATCTCATCCAAAGCTTTGATGCAAATAATGCCCTGTGTGTTAGCTCCAGGCCCACATTCCCAATCAACCTGGTGGACCTCTCCACCTGGCATTCCAAAGATGTGTATCTGTTTTCTCTTTCTCCTTCACCATCTCCACTCCTCACTTATATCTGTTAATGGCACCACTATTCCCCTAGTACCCAGGCTTAAAACTTTTGAGTCCTCCCATTCCAAAAGACTCATGATGGAAAACGCTATCCACGTCCAGAGAAAGAACTGAAGTCTGAATGCAGATCAAAGCATACTGTTTTCACTTTTTTTTCTTTCTTGTGGTTTTCCCCTTTTATTCTGATTCTTCTTTCACAACATGACTAATGCGGAAATATGTTAAACATGATTATACATGTATAGCCTATATCAGATTGCTTGCCATGTTGGAGAGGCAGGGAGAGGAAAGAGGGAGAAAGAATTTGGAACTCAAAATCTTGTAAAAGTGAATGTTGAAAACTAAAAAAAAATAAATATTTAAAAAGGAATCCTCTTTGACTTAGTCTCCCTCAACCATCATCCCCTCCATATACGTGTCAGATCTTATCTGTCTGTTCTCTCTCCAATATTTGCTGTATCTATCCTGTTCTTTTCCTTTCACCCTGGCAACCCCAGTTATGATGAGTTAAGCCTCATCATCTCCCCCCTGGCCTCTTGTATAGCCTTCTGCTTAGTCTCTCTGCCTTCAGGCTCCCCACTATCCACTTCATCCTGCACCCAGCTGCCACAGTAATCTTCCTAAGGTTCACGATTCTAAGGACCAGGTTACTCACATGTTACAAAGCCATTGCCTACTAAGTGAAGTCCTAATTCTGTTGTCACTGCAGACCTTCCAGCAGAGCTGGGCTACTGTAGAGGATGCTGTAGAGATAATTCATGTTTCAGGCAGGGTTGAACTAGATGGGTTCTACTCCAAAGTCTTCCTGGTCTAAGATTAAGAATGATAATATCATATTTATATAATGTGTTAGGTTTACAAAAGATTTCCCTCACAACAACCCTATGAGATAGGCCATTAAGGACTGTTGGTATCCCTGCTGTACATACGAGAAAACTAAGGGGAAATGATATGCCTGAGCGCAAGTAACCTGTAAGTTGCAGAACTTCTCTTCCTTCAACCTGGAATTCAAGACCTTCTGCAATGTGACCTCAGCCTACCTTTCCAGTCTTAGCTTATACTTCTTGCCACTATATTCCACGCTCTAGTCAAATAGGATCCTTCCCTTGGCTGTCTTGGTGTCTCTGTTCACATCATTCTCCATGTCTGAAATGAACCTCACCTTACCTATCTGCATCTTGGCATCCCTGGTTGCTTTTGAGATTCAACTCAAAGGCTACTTTCTACATGAGGCATTCCCTATTCTGCATCCCCGCCCAAAGCTGTTAACACTTTCACTTTCTCCCTAGGTTAGTTATCCTGTGTGTGTGTGTGTGTGGTGTGTGTGTGTGTGAGAGAGAGAGAGAGAGAGAGACAGAGAGAGAGAGAGAGAGAGACAGAGAGAGAGAGAGAGAGAGAGTCCCAAAAGTCTTAGTGCAGTTGGGATTTTGGGGGGGTTTTTTTGGTTTTTTGATTTTTTTTTTTGCTGGGTGTAGGGGGAGGGAGAGGCAGTGGGGTTAAGGGGACTTGAATTCAGATCCTCCTGACTCCAAGGCAGGTGCTCTATCCACTGTGCCACCTAGCTGCCTCAATTTTAAGCTTTAAACAAGCATTATCTGTATTGGGGATAAGCTAGAAGCTTTCCAAATAAGGTCCAGGGTGAAACAAAGATGACTATTATCAACACTATTATTCAATATAGTACTAGAAATGTTAGCAATAAGAATAATAAGAGAAGAAAAAGTTTTAAGTTTTAATAGCTTTTTGATTTTTTTTTATCCCTAGTATCTAGTATAATATCTGGTACATGGTAGTGCTTAAGAAATGCTTGCTCTATATTAGATTGCTCTGTCTTGGGAAGAGAGGCAGAGAGGGAAAGGGAGAAAAATTTAAAACTAAAAAGCTTATGGATGTGAATGTTGATAAATCAAAATAAATTAATTTTAAAAAATGCTTGCTGATTGACTAATAGATTGATGGATTGACCAATAACACGATGCCTTGCAAATGGTACACTGAACTGGATTGAAATGAATCTGAAAAGTTTAAAACTGCTTTACAAACTCAAGGCAGTTTCACTATTAAAAGGAAAACATGAACGAAGAATGTTATAAAAGGGGCAAACAAGGTAGAAGTCTCTGCCTTCAAGAGAGAAAGACTTTCTCCTCCACTGCCCTTCCCCATACCTGCACAGCTTAGAGGTTAAGGGAAGAGATGACTGGCCCAGGATGGTTTCCCAGTGATCCTTAGTTTATATAATTGATACATAAGCTCCTCCTCATCAACAGATATTTATTGAATGCCCCATATGTTTGGAGTACTCCACCAATTCTGGAGAAACACAAAAGGTTAAGGCATGGCCCCTGTCCAGAAAGGGTTGACAGTTTAGTAAGGAACTTAGAAATATATTTTTTTTAAATCCAATAGAGCTTTGGGCTGGGAGTTAGGTACAAGTGGCCAGTTCCTACCTCTACAGCTGACTAGCTGTGTCATCTTGGACACATCCCATCACTTCCCTGGAGCTAATTTTCCTCATTTGTAAAATGAAGAGGGTAGAGTTTTTTTAAGGCCATTGTTGCCTCTGGCACTGTGACTCAACATCATTATTTTAACTGGGTTAAAGTTCATGACTTATACTAACCCTGCATTTAATGCTATTGTAAAGAGAACACTTTTGCAGTCTTTTGCTTAATTCTTTGATTCATAAATCTGAATTTTCCTGTATGTGGTTTCTTTAAAGTACCTCTTTCCCCCTCA